TCCGGGAGGCTGCAGAGATCGGCAGGCAAGCAGCTGGGTGAAGCAGAGTTCATCCAGAAAACCAATAACTCTGAACCCTGCTTTAGCCAGCCACTTGCTTGCTGAGCTCTGTACCCACCTGGTGATCCTATGGAGGTCTAGACTGTTTATTACAAGCCTTGACCTACTTTTAAAAATTAGCAAATTCATTTTTATTCTTTTGAACAAGTCTCTATACCTAGACGGAAGCACCTTGTGTTAGTTTTAACAGACTTGAAAGTGCCTTGGCCATAGGGTGGTGTGAGCAGTTTTAGTAGCTATTGACATGCATTTAATAAACACTCAACTGTATATATAAAATAAATACATTTTAAAAAGTTTATGTAAAAAGGAAAAATGCAGCAAGGAAAAACAAAGACCAACTATGCTTTTGCCTGCAGTGTTCTTAAGATGCTGACAGGATAGGATAACAATTAAGATTAAATTAAAAAGTCACTGCATTGCTCACCCTGGATGTAATATCCATCTCGCAAACCACCAAACTTTTCTTGACCAGCAGTATCCCATACATTGAATTTAATAGGACCTCTATTGGTATGGAAAACCAAAGGGTGGACTTCAACACCAAGTGTGGCTGCAGAAAAACAAGTTAACAAATAAGGCAAAAATCAGGTGAACACAATACACAGCATGCAACGAACCTGCAAAGAAAAAGGGTTAATACTGCCCCTTCACCAATCTCGACACGTGGCAAAGCCAGCATGGAGTGGGAATGTTGGATGTCATGACCTAGCGTTCGAGGAAAGGATACCGCAGCATGCCGAGCAGGACCAAAAAGGAGGGAACCAGAGTGCAGGGGCCAGTGCCATAACATGTTACACCCTGAATTTGGGTATGACATGTCATGAATGGGTTAAATGTTCCAGTCTGCCTTTAAGACAGTTCTGGACTGCACAAGCAATACAGACAAAGGATCAAGAATTCTGACAAGCAGCCAGGTACCCTGACAAATGTCACTGCACACTGACCAGCCTTTACTGATTCAAAAGCTAATTTTAGGATAAAAAAGGGACATCACCCATCATTGGCAATTAAATGGCTTGTGACTTGATATAGTTCATAAGATGTTACCATACAGCAGGGGCTTCTAAAAAGCAAAGGCAACTTAAGCGACTTTGTAACAGACCACAGGCTTCCATAAGCAGAGCAGGCAGATTGCTCTGCATATGCAGAGCAGGAACGAACACATCCGGCGCTACGCTCTCTTCAATCTGCCCAGAAGGAAGGGGAAGTATTCCTTTTTAGCAGATCGGATTGAGGTAGGTAGGTGTAAACGACAAGTCCACCATAGAAGTGACATGCGAGTCTGATTGGGTGGACCTAAAAAGCTGACAGGAAGACCCAATCAGACCGATGTGAAAGGGGGCCTAAGGCTGCTTTCACACTGCTGCGGTTTACCCACACCGCAGGTCTAGTGTATCTGTGGCTTTCCTGCATGTTAGCTGAACTGAGCCATAGACTTCTATTATATCTTGCAGGTGTAGTGCGCTTGCCTGCATTCAGGAATCTTAGTACGGCATCCCAGAGTAGGTTGTCACGAGCCACACCAGAGGGCTCTTCGGGCCAGCAGTTGGGAACACCTGACATACAGGGTTCACAAACTGTTTGGTGCCATAGTATAAAACAACCCTTAGTCCACAGTTTGTCAAAGTACATTTTGACCTTTCACATGCATTGAAAGAAAAAAAAAAAAACCCGCAACAATGCATGTTTACAATCCAAAGACTGACTGTTCCAAGAAGAAATATGAAATAGGCAGGCACAGTTTAGCCCACCAAAACCTAATCCCTCAGCTAATGAGCATGAAAGCTTATACCTGCAAGGCTCCCGATGGGTCAGGAATGTTATCTCGAATTTTAGCTTACAAGGTAAAATCTACTTTAAAATTTATTCCAACAGGAGTGTCCACATGTTTCCCTCTGGACAACTTGTTTCTTGGTTTGTCTTTTTAATTGAAATCAGCGTAGCAGAAGCTGCACACAGGTTTTCTACCTTACTGCATTAAAATGCACTACAGCCACTTTAACACCTCATTCTAACTGGTCAACCCTTCACTCTAAACTGATGAGCCATTGGGCTTTTACCAGTCTATAAAAATGGTATTAACTTGAAGCATAGTTTACTGAAAATGATATACATGCTCACTACCAAACAAAATTGGCACCACTTAATTCTCCAGCATCTCTGCCATCAAAAAACAGGTTTTAGGGTTTTAAATTCTTGTCAGGCCTAATATGTGCCTCTTAACGTGTGTATAATTGCAAAAATTGCCCGGCAGCAAAGAATTACAGTTCACATACCTACATATTTTTTCTCGAATTCACCAGTCAAATGACGTTTTACAAATGTTGTTTTACCAGTACCACCATCACCAACCAGAACAAGCTGGAAAAAAAAAGTGACATTTTAATAAGTATTAAACATTTTTAAAAATTAAGCAAAAAAAACACTACCAATAAGTTTTACCTTGAACTGAACTTGAGGTTCTCCTTGGGCTGCCATGGTTTGTGTGTGGCTAGGAGAAAAATGTAAAACATTTAGATTTTGATAGTGTCAGCAACATGAGCAGCTGCATTGAATGCTATATAATAGGCCACTCATCCCCCAAGGCAGACAGCTCCAGGCCTCATTCAGACAGTTAACAGAGTGTTAGTCACACCACCTCCTAATGTCCTATTAAGTAACAGGTTAAACATATGAACACTTGTAACATATCCAAAGAACAACTGCATGCAATCACTAACTTTCAAAATTATGCTTTTAAATCCCCTTTCCTGTAGTCCTGTGATCATTAATGTACCCCTCATTTCTGCAGGTCTGCATTAAAGGAACTCATCACCTCTGGCATCAATGCCATAGGCTTCCAAGATGGCAGCATCCAACAACCACATTGGATCCGGACAACAGGCTTGTTAGAAGGAAATTACACACCGAGGCACAGTACAGACAATGCTACCACATCATGATCAACCTGGTATTTACGCTCGGTTCACACTGACGCGTTTGCTCATCACAGCAGCCATTCATTTCAATAGGCTGCACAGTGCCTGCATTTCCCACAGGAAAAAAAAAAAAAAAAAAAAAAAAAAAAAAAGCACCTCTTTCAAACCGTGGACCTAAGGGAAATCGCATGGTCATTTTGACCATGCGATTTCCCTGCAGTTCGACACCCACAAAAATGCGTTTTCACATGAATAGCAGCCCCGCGCATTCTCATTGAGTGGGGGATTCACCGATTACCGCACCTGCTGTGAACCGAGCCTTCGAGATGTCACCCTAACTACAAAATAGCAAACAAACTGATAGGATCAACAGGCAATTACCATTGCATTTAAATGTTGCAAAAGAATGATCATTCCAAGGGATTGCAAACATAACCAAAGCCACCTGATCACTTTTACAGACCTCCAGAAAAAGACCCCCCCCCCCCCCCCCCCACTACCATGCTGTCCTCTAACTGCAAAGGACCCAAAAGTGACAAAAAAAAAATCACTACCAGTTTCTGCTGTCGTTTTTCCCAGTCAGTGGCCAGGGAAGAATCCAATTATTGTGCACAACCTACACTCAGTTATCTTCAATGGATGGCAAGTAGGCTATCACTTAGGTCCCAGTTACATCAAAGCAACTCTGAATAGCAGGCAGAATTGCATGATTCTTCCTGTGATTTCAAACAATGGTAGCCAAACCAGCATTTTGCCATGGTTTTAGTGCAATCTTAATAGCACCCCAAACATGGTGCAATTTTGCAGCATGGAAACTGCAGATAAAACAGCAAGCAAAATCCTAAGCTCATCACCCAAAAGGTGCAGCAGCTTTGGCATGTTTGTTACACAGCAGCGCATTCAAGTGAATGGGCTGCCATGTGCACAAAACACAAGCGTGAACCACTATGCAAAGTGTGAATGGGACCCAAGAAGTCAATCACTTGGAGGACTTTTGATCTGATAAGCCATAGATTTAGATGAAAAGTGTCAGTTACATCCAAGCACTTACAGCCCAGCCCCATATACACATAAAAACACCTATTGACGGAACATATGCACAAAAACGCAGAATTTTACATTTCATTGCACGTGCTTGAGTGATAACACAATGGGTTTTGCCTTAAAGCGGAGTACCACCCACCCTGTCAAAAAAATAAAGGTCAACTACAAAAACTAGCTAACATTTAAAAAACAGCCACTTACCTGTCCCCACGATGTGTCCCCTGCAGTCCTGTATTCCAGGAGGCCGGCATCTTCAGTGTGGGCACCCAGCTGTGACTGTTTGTGACTTCACATTCGGGTACCCACTGTGCAAGTAGCACTGCGCTTCATGAATGGTCCTGTAGTCTTCTGGGACCTGTCACGTGTCCCAAGAGACTACAGAAAGGGAGGACACCTTCTGTTTCCAATCGCCTAGGCAGTGGGAGCGGGTACCTGTCAAATACAGGTACCCGCTCCCCCCACAGGTGCCAATACTTAATGGGGAGCAGTCCTTAAAGCAGAACTCCCTTTTAGGTGGAGCTCCACTTTAAGTTAGGAAAATAAAAAAAAAAAAAAAAAAAAAGTGGAACTAAAGGCTTCTTAGAACAGACTGCAAGCAAGCAGACAATTACTACAAAAGAGACAAACACTGTCTCTTCTGTGAGAAAATACACCTACCTGCACTCTTCCCTGACAAATGGAACATTACAATACTGGCATGGTCACATGTGCTGGGATGACTGACTCTTGTGCCTGAGCAAGAGATAAGTCACCTGGTGCCAGCCAAGTTGTCCGCAGGCTGGAACCCAGGAAGAAGCTGTTGAGGGACCTGGACCATTAAAGAATTATTATGTTTAGTTCTGCTTTAACTACATATGCCTTTCCTCTTCCCTTCCACATCTTTTATGATGGGTTCTCTTCAGAAGACCTGTGCAGCAGATCCATTGTTAGGTATCACAGCCTGTGTCCCACGCCAGCTGCCTTTTTCGTATTCTGGAAGCCCAGGCTTAGATGATGTAGTTGGGCTCTACTGCCAGCTGTCTGAATGTGCTCCATAAGCCTCTTGGGATGTGTGATTGGGACATCAAAGGAAACTGTAGGAGCAGGGTACTTCATTCTCACCTAGCGGCAAGACAGTAGCACACAGGAGCAATACAAAACACCGACCATTTCTGTTGCCATATCAGCCATAGTGACATAGACCTAGAATTATTTGTGGCCTGAAACTTCACTTTCAAGAGCAACTACAGTCATTGTGAAAAATTAAAAGTCAGCAGCTACAAAGGATACAGGTGGATTCTGTGTTACCAATGCTGCCCAGGCTGTTTCACAGCCAGCATCCCACTAAGCATGCTTGAAAAGCACTTCCAGATTGGTCCTGCAGCCTCCTGAGACATGATGTGCCCCAGGAGGTTGTGGGTTGGGAAGTGGAGCTAAACGTTTTCTATGGTCACCTAGACGAGAAAACCTAAAGTGGGGGCATGTACTAAAATAAAAAAAAAAAAATTACACGTAATACTTACCTGTGTGTAGGCCTTGGGCTCCCCCCACCAGCACTCCTGACTCCACCAATGGCTGCTGCTAGCCCTCAGGAGGGAGAGAGTCTTGTGTAAATATAAAGGGTGTGGGGAGATTACAATATCTATCTTAATGCAGAACTGTTAAAAACCTTAGGGCTTCAGAACCACTTTAATGCATTCCCTGCATTAGAGTAAAATGCTTATCCGCTTGGCAGCCCCCAACTCCCCCCTTTTTCCCAACACTTACCTGCCTCCTCTCCCAATCCAGTGCTGTTCCCAGCTGCATGTTTCTCCTCTTTACTCTCTGCTCTCACAGGAGACTGAGCAGCAGTCAAATCCTGTGACGAGGGAGCAGGGAATGTGACCAATCTAGGCTGTGTGTGTTTATGGATGCACACAGCACAGCTCAGGAGTTGGCCTGTGCTGAGTGCCTCTTCAGCACAAGGCTTGCTTAAGGGGCACTTGTAAGAAGGATCCAACAGTGCTGGCAAGGGAAATATGAAAGGTGGTAATGGACCTCTCTGCAATGCCATTTTATAGAGCAGATGAATAGAACTTATTTTAACACCAAAGACAAATCACTCAATTTTTGAGAGCACTTTAGTAGTATAATAAATGGGAGGAGAGATCAGGGAGCCGAGTGGTGGTGGGGGAGAGGAGGAGAGATCAGGGAGCCCAGTGGTGGTGGGGGAGAGGAGGAGAGATCAGGGAGCCCAGTGGTGGTGGGGGAGAGGAGGAGAGATCAGGGAGCCCAGTGGTGGTGGGGGAGAGGAGGAGAGATCAGGGAGCCCAGTGGTGGTGGGGGAGAGGAGGAGAGATCAGGGAGCCCAGTGGTGGTGGGGAGAGGAGGAGAGATCAGGGAGCCCAGTGGTGGTGGGGGAGAGGAGGAGAGATCAGGGAGCCCAGTGGTGGTGGGGGAGAGGAGGAGAGATCAGGGAGCCCAGTGGTGGTGGGGGAGAGGAGGAGAGATCAGGGAGCCCAGTGGTGGTGGGGGAGAGGAGGAGAGATCAGGGAGCCCAGTGGTGGTGGGGGAGAGGAGGAGAGATCAGGGAGCCCAGTGGTGGTGGGGGAGGAGGAGAGATCAGGGAGCCCAGTGGTGTGGGGGAGAGAGGAGGAGAGATCAGGGAGCCCAGTGGTGGTGGGGGAGAGGAGGAGAGATCAGGGAGCCCAGTGGTGGTGGGGGAGAGGAGGAGAGATCAGGGAGCCCAGTGGTGGTGGGGGAGAGGAGGAGAGATCAGGGAGCCCAGTGGTGGTGGGGGAGAGGAGGAGAGATCAGGGAGCCCAGTGGTGGTGGGGGAGAGGAGGAGAGATCAGGGAGCCCAGTGGTGGTGGGGGAGAGGAGGAGAGATCAGGGAGCCCAGTGGTGGTGGGGGGGAGAGGAGGAGAGATCAGGGAGCCCAGTGGTGGTGGGGGGGAGAGGAGGAGAGATCAGGGAGCCCAGTGGTGGTGGGGGAGAGGAGGAGAGATCAGGGAGCCCAGTGGTGGTGGGGGAGAGGAGGAGAGATCAGGGAGCCCAGTGGTGGTGGGGGAGAGGAGGAGAGATCAGGGAGCCCAGTGGTGGTGGGGGAGAGGAGGAGAGATCAGGGAGCCCAGTGGTGGTGGGGAAGAGGCTGCAGACACGTGCTACCTTCCACTGACACAATAGAATGAGGAGACTCAGGAAAGGTCCCCGGAGTGATCCACCATTAAGAGGAAAGCTCTCCTCCTATCACAGGGAAGATTAGAAGTTCAGACACCATAAAGGAAGGACTGCCGAAAACATACCACGTGATCACATACAAGTGTAAAACGAACCACTACTAATACAATGCTATCTTCATGAGAATAGGACGTCTGTCCTGCAGGGAGGGCCGGACCATCCGGGGTATAGAGTAATAGATGTCTATAGGCCCCATACACATCCTGCCCCAAGCTAGGCCTTGTACATGCGCCGCTCCCGCCATAGGCAGCCACATGGAGGAAATGAAAGGAGTCGAATGGCGGCACGCCGGTTCGTGCTGGCCTTCCACTCCCCGGG